GGGTGGGATGAATAACATGGGTGGAATGAATAACATGGGTGGGATGGCTAACATGGGTGGGATGAATAACATGGGTGGAATGAATAACATGGGTGGGATGGCTAACATGGGTGGGATGAATAACATGGGTGGGATAAATAACATGGGTGGGATGGATAGCATGGGTGGAATGAATAACATGGGTGGGACTGGGATGAATAAAATGGGTGGGATGAATAACATGGGTGGGATGGATAACATGGGTGGGATGAATAACATGGGTGGGATGAATAACATGGGTGGGATGAATAACATGGGTGGGATGAATAACATGGGTGGGATGGCTAACATGGGTGGAATGAATAATATGGGTGGAATGAATAACATGGGTGGGATAAATAACATGGGTGGGATGGCTAACATGGGTGGAATGAATAACATGGGTGGGCGGATAGCATGGGTGGGATGAATAACATGGGTGGGGCGCACAGCATGTGTGGGATGAATATCAGAGGTAAATCTAGGGGATGCGATAAATATCAGGGGTTCAATGAATGTTGATATTATATAAAACAAGTTGTATACACATACAACTACATATTGTATACACATACAAAACAATAGTTATATATAAATTGATATAGTAATAATTTTGGAGAGATTACAGTATGCATGACGTGACTTTAAAAACGGATTTATGAAAATTTGGCAGCTTTCTAAAAACTAATCAGATATTTTCTGAAGAATAAGTAGCTGTTGTGTTTTAACCCTATCAATATCATTTCCATAAACGGTTTTAGTGCCAAGGCTTCCAGGCTTCGTGAAGTAAGAGCATTCTCCACCCACAACTTCACATAATCCTACAAAGGTCTCACGAGACAACGATACACATACATACATACATACATACATACATACATACATACATACGCATGCACGCACGCACGCACGCACACACGCACACACATACATACATAACATAACTTACATACATACATACAATAACATGATACGATAACATGAGCGGCACACAAACTCGAGACACTGCGTTCACGCTACTCACCGATGGACGACGACGGGCCAGCCTTGACCGTGATGGGACCCTGCGGCCGCGGCGGCAGGCAGGTGCCCACCAGGGGGAACGTGTACTCGCCGCCAACGGGCGAACTGATCGTGAGCAGCGCGTGCGTCTCGCCGATCTGCGATGGCTCATAGAGGGCGTCGAGCGTCACCTCGGTGCCGACGGCCGAGCCCGGCGCCGCCATGACCGACTTGTCCACGCTGAAGTCGCCGTTGTTCACCTGATGGACGGATTGGCGGGTCGCCGTGGTTACAATACCGCTGTTACACTGCCGTGGTTACATTGCCGTGGTTACATTAGCATGGTTACATTGCCGTGGTTACATTGAAGCGGTTACATTGCCACTGTTACATTGACGTGGCTATACATTGCGGCAGTTACATTGCCATGATTACATCACCGCAGTTACTTTGTCGTGGTTACATTGCCGTGGTTACTTTGTCGTGGTTACATTGCCGTGGTTACTTTGTCGTGGTTCCATTGTCGTGGTTACATTGCCGTGGTTACATTGTCGTGGTTATATTGCTGCTGCTACTGTTACTGTTACTGTTGCTGTTGCTGTTGTTGTTGGTGCTGCTGCTATTGTTGCTGCTGCCCCTGCCACTACCACTAGTGCCACCACTGCAACTACCATTACCACTACCACTTCTAGTGTATGTGCTGTGTTCACTGAAATAGTTCTGCCTGTTCCAAAGATTTTGTATACGGATACCATCTTTATTAAACATGATCGGACAAGGAACTTAGTCCACTCAATGCTCCGCTTAACGAAAGTCAGAATTGGAGTGGAAAACAGAGCACCTCGTCCGGAAAATATGACCTACCTTGCACTGGTAGTCGCTCTTCTGCCTCGCAAAGTTGAGGAAGCGGATGGGCAGCACCTGATGAGAGCCGAGGCAGGTGCTGAAATGTACGGGCCTCTCCGGCAGCGGCGCCGTGCAGGTGAGCTTGAGCTCGTACAGGTACTGCCCGAGGTCGGCGCTCGTTAGCTCCAGCTTACCTGTCACCTCTCCCTGCTTGATGGGCAGGTACTCAAACCTGAAGTGACCCTAGACGGCAAAGCGAGACGGCGATGAGCGGATGAGGAAGAAGAAAAAGAAGCACAAGATGACGAAGATGAAGAAGAATAAGAAGTAAAAGCAGATCACAAAATAAAATAAAATAAAATAAGATGTAAAAGTAAGATCACAAATAAAATAAAATGAAATAAAATAAAATAAAATAAAATAAGAAGAACTAGTAGAAGATCACAAAGAAGACCTCTCCCTGCGTGAGGGGCAGGTACTAAAACCTAGTGACCCTAGACAGCAAATCGAGACAGACGGCGATGAGCGGATGTAATGTAAGCATGAATGCATTTATGTAGTCGGTATCATACCAGTATGGAAGGAAAACTGGAGCTGAGAAGAAAGAGAAAAGGAAAAGCAGAAGAGGAAAAGGAGAAGAAGAAGAGAAAGAGGATAAGAAGAAGCAGAAGATGAACAAGAAGAAGCAGATGACAGATATGAAGATAATGAAGAAGAAGAAGAAGAAAAAGAAGAAGCAGAAGAAGAAGAAGAAGAAGAAAAAGAAGAAGCAGAAGAAAATGACCAAGAAGCAGAAGAAGAAGAACACGACAAAGAAATAACACAAGCAGAAGAATACGAAGAAAAATAGAAAAATGAAAAAGAAAAGAAATGAAATAAAGAACGAATTGCGGGCAGGGCGCCAGAAAAGCTCTCTCTCTCTCTCTCTCGCTCGCTCTCTCGCTCTCTCTCTCTCTCTCTCTCTCTCTCTCTCTCTCTCTCTCTCTCTCTCTCTCTCTCTCTCTCTCTCTCTCTCTCTCTCTCTCTCTCTCTCTCTCTCTCCTCCCTCCCTCCTCCTCCCCTCCCCTCCTCTCTCTCTCTCTCTCTCTCTCTCTCTCTCCTCCCTCACCTCGGACAGCGGTGGCACGGAGAGCTGTGCAGGCATCAGAACCTCCGGCAACGCGCAGCTGGCAGTGAACGTCGACGTGCCGGGGAGCGGGTTCTCGAGCGTGAGCGCGTGTGCGAGGCCACGCCGCGCCGCCGTGCTCAGCTGCACGGTGCCGATGTAGCCAGGTCGCGTCGCGCGGAAGCTCACCTCGTACCACTGATACTCACCCGTCTTCTCGTTGCGAAACATCACCTGCGGGTGGAGAGCGCGAATGGGCGGGCGCGTATAGCAGTTAACAAGATCCTTTCCGGTTGCGAAGCGGGTTCAGGTTGAGAGGCTTATATAGTAGCCATTATCTGTTATGTTATGTTATGTTACGTTATGTTGTGTTGTGTTACGTTACGTTGTGTTACATTATGATATGTTATGCTATGATATCAAGAGCTCGATATCATATTATTAGGTATGTATAGTGTATAAACAAACGAAATGTACACTAAAACAAAATGCATCGGGATAATGACTAAATCTATACTGATACAATGATGCCGTTGTTAACAGCAGTGTATGGAGGAAAATGGATAAGATAATATCGGTCGGAGTGTGGAGCAGCCACAAACCACCCAGTAAGAGCTGTCGTGGTGGTTTGGAGCCCAGCTTCATGCACCAGGCCCACAATGTTACCTTAACAGTCGCCGTGCCTTCTTTGTATGCGTAAAAGTTTAGTTTGTAGTCCTTGCTGTTGCCTGGCACATCAATGTAGTCCAGGCCCTTGATGGTCGTGCTTTCTAACCGCTCTAGCTTCTGTGACTCAATGGTCACCTTAAATCTAAAGTTTAATAGTTACTGTTGTAGCCCGCACCAGGAGAACTAGAAACCTTCACTTGACATCAACGTACACGTGTATCATGTCACGTCAAATAACAACGATTGTTTTTATCTAATATTGTTTGGTGATATAAGAGAAAAAATGCAATAAAAATCACGGGTATGTTTACTTGTTCTAGATTTAAGTAATAACGTTAGTTTTTGCATATCACCTTGCTAAGATCTCTCTGAATACTATACAGGGTAACTTAATATTCAGTGAGAGTTTACACGGAACAAATAGATTTCTGCTCCACCCGTAGCGGCACAGAGACTAGTAACGTCACAGCAACTTATCTTTCCCATTCAATCCATTCGCAGGATAACAACAGTAAGTTCCTACATGGGTGACGTTGCTTCATACAAGCCGAGTGAGGATAGAAGTGGCTCCCTGCACCGCGACGTACCCATATAACATGAGATCTGAATGCGGTGCTGTTAGACACGGGCGACAAACAACACAGTGAGCATTACTGATGCAATATGACAGCAGCACTTACCTCTGTGCTCGGCTCAGCCAGTTATGCACGCGCAGCAGCTCTGTGTACGACGTCTTGCACGGCACCTCGCGCTGAATCTTGCCGCTGCACCTCGGCTGGTCTGCCAATCCTGACACGTTGTAGAGAAGTCCGTTGCCATCCGGGAGTGGAAAGAATATGGATCCCTGGAATGAGGCGCGTGCATGGTGATGGATGATGCTGACTCTGTCTTTCTCTCTCCCTCCCTTCCTTACTCTCTCCCCATCTCCCTCTCTGTCTCTCATCTCACTCTCTCTCTCGCTCCACCCTCTCTCCCCCTTATGCTCCCTCTCCCTTCCTTACTCACTCCCTCCTCCCTTCCTCCCTCCCTCCTCACCTCCTCCCTCCCTCACTATCATCAACGAATGCTTACTTTTAAGCACTGATTTATGCACACAACTCTCAAACAAACACTAATATAAAGGCATGAACATAGAATACATAGAATATAGTGATTATAGGACATCTCGAGAACATACCGTGCATTTATAAGATAACCTGAGATGCTCATACTCGAACAAATATATATATATATATAATACTGTGTTTTGTCATGAGATGTGCTGTTCTGCTGTAAGATAAAGCCACTAAAGCACTACCGCATGTTTTTTGTCGATAGTGGTCATCGTCAGTGGCAGGTAGGTGAGCTCGTACGCGCACGTGTGTCCAGCCTCAACAAAGACTGTCTCTGCGCCACTCCACTGCTCACCGTCGATGACTGGCTTCAGTGTCCACGACGTGGAGCTCCTGAAAACCAACCACACACGGCCAGACGCTGTAACATTATCCGTGTGCATCCACTCACACACTCGATACTTCATTTAATCTAACAAGTATTCCTGTACAATGCTCGCAGTTGGCGACCGGGAGGTTAACGCTGTACAACACAAAAGAGCAGTAATCGTTAACAGACATTAATACATCCTTTAGGCAACGTTGAAGGAACTATAAAGCAACTTTGTTTTCCATCCATGGTGAGATCTGACGCTATAACCCAGACGATCGACTCGAGTGTGGAAATAGTTGTGCGAGCAGCCACAATGTTCTTACATCACAAGAAAGTTTAATTCAGTTAAATGATATTTCGCGAGCTACCCAATTAATTGACCGCAAGAGCATCCGCTGCACAGCCGCATGCATACTTGTTTGGGATGTTGATCGACTTTGTGTCCTTCTGTCTGACGTGAGCGTTGAATGAGAGTACTTCCCTCCAGGGGCACACGCTGACACAGACCCCTGTGAGGGTCAGTAGTAGAGGCCTCCCTCCCTCAATCCGACACTTCAACCCCTGGTATAACGATGAAATGTCCCATGTAACTCAGTCAATAGACAATGTACGTACTCTTAATAACGTGAACACCTCTACACAGAGTTTAGATATGTTGATGCTAATGACAGATCTAAAAATATATAATATATAAAATATTTATATGTATAGATTATGCTGGACACATACAACAGCAACTCGGAAACAACGCTATAAAACACCCCCATAGTGCCAACCCAGGCCGCCCTGTTCACTTGCATCTTCATCTTTTGCAACTCAAAGTAAAAGTTCAAATAAGACCCATATGACCCTAACCCGAGATTAATGCAAGGATCGGTTATATGTGTATGACATCCATGAGTTATAGGCTTGCCAGGTTTTCCACCAGAATCCATGGTATTTGGAATATCTGCATATGGAAACAAACAGATTTGCCCCGCAGACATGTGAAAGAATTCCTAAAGATATATATATATATATATAAATATATATATGGATATTTTGGTAGTCAGGTCTTTTATTCTTATTTTGGTTCACAATTTTTCCTCTTATACTTCAGTGGTTAAAATAAAAATTGAACTTAACTTTAAAAAAGGCCTGCATGCAAATACTGCAAAAATAATTAACCGAGGTGCATTTCGTATCTGCTCCTATCATCACCATCAAATAATACCCAATCAAGTAGTGTATTTTATTTTTCCTAGCAGGTCAACAGTCTTTATTCATTGGCGTAACTCAATATGTTTCACGACGTCAGCAGAACTGTTAGCCAAGCTGCGAAAGATAAAAGGTCTTCGGGTTCTCATGGAAACCCCACCGAACGAGGAAAAAGGCCAGAGCCGTAGCTAGCGGGGGGGGGGGGTAGTGTCAAGGGAGCAGTTGCTCCAGGCACGTAGATATATTGCATAGTCAAACTGTCAATGGCGGTCACCTTCCCAAATCACACCACGCACGGTAATTTTGCCACTAGGCAAAATAAGTCAGCTTCACTCCTCAAGGATTTTTACCTCACGCCTGATGTCCTGCGACACAGCTTTCGGGTGGAAGGTTATTGTGAAGGTCACGTCCATGCCGGGTGACACGTAGCCCGTGAGTGGCACGATAGAGAAGTCAGCACCAAACCCTGCTGTGTCCCAACGAAATCTGCAAAGCAATATACGGTCACGCTAATCGGAAGGGCTGCAATAGTAAATATAGAGCATGGTGTGTGTGTGGGTGGGGGCTATGCCGGTTGTTCCAGTGTATGATGGGGAAGGAGAGACGTTCTTTTCGGAAATTAGGAGTGAAAGAGAAAGCAGAAAGAAACTGAAATTGGAATACGTTTTAACAAATAAATGTCTGGCAAAATAAAATAAAATAAAATAAAAAGATTTCGCCCAACGTGGGGCTCGAACCCACGACCCCAGGATTAAGAGTCCTGTGCTCTACCGACTGAGCTAGCCGGGCTATCCATATGTACAATGTCCTTCTTCTTGTACAAGTACAGAATTATAACGACCATAAATTTCCCCCCAGTAATTCACACGGGTTGTATATTTTAAGGTATTTGTTATTATAACCTCAATGGCATAATGTAACATTGGTAAACATTAGGTTTAGCGTCGTAAATTAACTTGCAAACGCCACCGCCAGATGGCGCTACGCGGTCTATCGGCGTTTCGGGAACATCGTCAGCACTCTCGTAGTTCTGGTACAGGGTAGCGAAGGAGCAGTGTAGGGAGGGGGAGGGGAGGGAGGAGGAAGTTTAGAGTAGTACTAGTAGGTGGAGTAGGGAGAAGCTAGTGAAGAATGAGGAGGGAAGATTAAGGGCAGATAAGGGAGCTAGGGAGAAGGAGGGGGAAAGGAGAAGCTGGTGGAGAAGGAGCACGGGGGAAAAGCTGCTGTGAGCAATTGAGGAAGGGGGAGAAAGGGAGAAGGTGGTGGCAGAAGCAGGAGCAGGAGAAAGCTGGTGGAGAATGAAGGAAGGGAGAGGGGAGAAGCTGGTAGAGAAGAAGGAAGGGGAGAACGGGAGAAGCTGGTGAGAAGGAGGAGGGGAGAAGCTGATGGAGAAGGAGGGGAGAAGCTGTGGGAGGATGAGAAAGGGAGAAGGGAGAACTGCGTGGAGAAAGGGAGAAGCTGGTGGAGGCAGAAGGGGAGAAGGGAGAAGGTGGTGAGGAGGGGGAGAAGCTGGTGGAGAGGAAGTAGAGGGAGAAGCTGTGGCAGAAAGGAGAAGCTGGTGGAGTGAGGAAGGGGAGAATGAGGAGACAGTGGTGTTGGAGGGTGGAGAGGCTGGTGGAGGAAGGAGGAGCGGGGAAGCTGAATGGAGAAGAGAGGAGGGAAGAAGAGGAGAGAAAAGCGGAGCTGGTGGAGGAGGAGGGGGGCAGAAGGGCAGGAGAAAAAGGCTGTGTGCAGAAGGAGAAGGGGAGAAGGCGATGAAGCTGGTGGAGAAGGAGGAGGGAGAAGCTGGTGAGAATGAGGAAGGAGAAGGGAGAAGGGTAGAGAAAGGGAGAAGCTGTTGGGAGGAGGAAGGGGGAGAAGCGGAGAAGGCGGTGAAGGCAGGGGCAGAAGCTGGTAGGACGAAGGAGGAGGGGGAGAAGCTGCGTGGAGGAAGCGAGGAAGAGGAGAAGGAGTGAGAGAAAATGGGAGGCTGGGTGATGAGGAGGGGGAGAAGGGAGAAGTGGATGGAGAAGGAGGAGGGCGGAGAGCTGTGGCGAAGAAGGAACGGGAGAGGGAAGCTGGTGGAGAAGGAGTAAGAGGGAGAAGGGAACATGCTGCCAAACCCAGCCCCCTGTACATCAATGAAATGCCGCCGCAAGCACGCGCACGCGCTGCACGCGTTTGTACGCGCTCGCTTGACGCTGTATATAATCGCGCTGTATATATCTACGCGCGCCGCGTCTCTATTTTTTCCGTCCGCACAATGCGCAAAGGGTTCCTCTGATTGGCTGCTTTGCATTTGCTATGACGCGACAAACCTTCAAAACAATGAGAACAAACGCCATTGTAAATATGTGTTTAGTTTCATTTATCAGGCAGATTATAAGTAAGGTTTAAAACACAGCATTTTAACTCCATTAATATAGAAATATATCACTATATTACATATCTTTGTGTAAACTGGTTATTTTCATCTTAATCTTAAGTTATGAGAGCGTTTGGCTCTCGTAAGAACGTCTCGGTACACCTTACTACATAGCGTATGCGTATACGTACTTGTAGCGAGTAGCCCTTCGCTCTGTCGTGCAGCAGTAAAGATAGCTCCGCGGCGCTATAGTACTAGAGCTAGAGTAAAGATAGATACAATAATGTAACCCAACAACAATGTAACCCTATTCATATGTGATTCGATTAAACTGAATCATTATTTTTTTACCGCTCTATCATTAATTCAAGTGAAACATAATTCATATAATGTTGCGTGACATTAATACGCCTTCAAAACTAATATAGTGATCTTTTCATACAAAATTATTTCATCCAACTGATGTAATTAATGTAGACCAATGTACATGTTAGGCCTACAGTGTTTCAAAAAACGTATTATTTCGCGAACAGTTGTCAATATATCTTTCAATATTCCATGGATTACTATTTCAGCAAACATCTGTCCATACGGAAATTGGGCTCCTTCAGTTCTCTAATAAATGTGAACGTCGATCTGCCACCTAATTAATGTTAATTAGAACAAGGTGATAAAAAACAAACAAGACAATACCACGCACATTAGAATAGGTTGTATTATTCATGCTTGCATCTGAAAGGTGTTTATTTCATATGCTTCCCATAGTAATTAAAGTCATTTTACAACCAATGCTTCATGTACTTTCTTTAAGAAACAGGGTAGCAATCACTTACAGCAGACAAATTAGTTTTGTATGTACAATATGATTAAGTTTCAATAAACTGTCACCCGTTTTTTTAAATTTATTTTTTACATACATGTATTTTTGTGGGACTTAATTTAAAGCCAATCGGATACGTTTGGTACGTGAAAAAACCCAAATGAATTATTCTGTTTTGTTAGAGTCATAATCCTATATATAGTTTCGTATGAAAATTAGATAATGCCCTGGTATTAATTGTTTTGCTTAGAATACTCAATTTTCAAGAAATAACAAAATTTCAAAATGTTTGGGGTCACCGCTGAACACTTGCCATTTGTAACTGTTACATAGGGATGTTTGCCTACTGGCGTATTATAACATTACAACAGGTCATTCGTATGTTACTACGTATGTAAGTAAGTGTTACGAGACGTCTTACGAGAGCCAAACCTCTCATAACTTAAGATTAAGAATGAAAATAACACACAGTTAGCACAAATGAATTGTAATTATAGTGGATTATTATATCTATATTAATGAGTAAAATGTGTGTTTTTTAAACTTACTTATAATCGTCTGATTGATGAACTAAAACAAATATTTTTATTTTTTTTTTTTACAAATGGTGCGTTTTGTTCTTCTGTTTTGAAGGTTTATCACGTCAGAGCAAATCAAAGCAGCCTATCAGAGGAAGCCTTTGCGCATTTGCGTACGGAAAAAATGACGCACGCCGCTCGTAGTAAGTGTTGGGGCGGCTATATTGAATGATGTACGGAGGGGAGTGCAGGAATTGGTGTGCACACGCACACGCACCACGCATGACGCACATCCCGCACGCGTATGGGCAGCGAGGTGGACATAAATGGTATTTAGTGACAGTCATATATGATTCGACATTCAATGTCTTCATAGATATTCTATTTAGTGATAGTCATTTAAATCAAGCCAAGCAGATACAACTTATTTGTTTTCAGCCAATCATAGGCCCATGGAATTATTGTCAAACACTAAATGATTTAATGATAGACACTAAATGCATTTAGTGTCTGTTCCACTAATCATTAGTTGCTGTTCATTAAATCGCACGTTGCTACATGCCAAGAGCACAACGTTACAAAGATCCACTGGCGCGGCGCCAAAGCTACTTAATCGTACAAAATCACGTCCAGAAGTGTGAAGCAATAGGTGAGGTGGTGTGAGGAAGGAGGGGAGAAGCTGGTGCAGAAGCAGGAAGGGAGAAGCTGGTGAAGCATGAGGAAGGGGAGAAGGGAGAAGGTGGTGGCAGAAGGAGGGAGGGGAGAAGCTGGTGCGAAAAGGAGGAGGGGGAGAAGGCTGGTGGCGAGAATGAGAAGGGTGAGAAGGGAGAAGGTGGTGGAGAAGGAGGAGTGAGGCGGGAGAAAGGGGAAGAAAGGTGGGAGAAGGAGGAATTTAGGGAGAAGGTGGTGGAGATGAGGAAGGGAGAGAAAGGAGAAGCTGGTGGAGAAAGGCCGAGGGCGGGTGAGAAGCTGGTTGGGAAGATGAGAAGGGGAGAGGGAGAACTGGTGGTGGAGAACGAGAGGGGGAGAAGCTGGTGAGAAGCGCAGGAAGGGGAAGGGATAAGGGTGGAAAGGAGGAAGGGGAGAACGTGAGAGAGGTGGAGAGAGGGAGGGGAGAAGGGGGAGAAAGGGAGAAGGGGTGTGGAGAAGAGGGGGGGAGACAGCTGGTGAAGAATAGAAGGGCTAGAAGGCGAGACTGTGGAGAAGGAGGAGGGGTGAAGCGCTGGTGGATGAAGGAAGGAATGGGAGAAGGGACAGATAGGGGTGGAGAAGGAGGAGGAGAAAGCTGGTGGCAAATGAGGAAGGCGCGAAAAGGGAGAAGCTGGTGGAGAACGAGGAGGCGGGGGAGAAGCTGGTGGAGAAGGAGGAAGGGGAAAAGGGATAAGCGTGAGGAGATTAGGGACGGAGTGAGGAGAGGGAGAGAAAGGTGGTGGAGCAAGAGGAGGGGGAGAGCGTGAGTGGAAAGGTAAGGGAGAGTGGGTGGAGAAGGCAGGAGGGGAGACGTCGGTTAAGAGGGGGGGAGAAGGGAGAAAGGTGGAAAGAGAGAAGCTGGTTGGGACATGAGGAAGGGTAGTGAGAAGGGAGAAGCTGGTGGAGGAAGCGAGGAGGGAGAAGCTGGTGGAGAAGGAGGAGGGTGGAGAAGGGAGGAAAGGGGTGAAAGGAGGAGGGGAGAAGCTGGTGAGTGAGAATGAGGAAGGGAGAATGGAGGAGAAGCATGTTGGAGAAGGAGCGAGGGCGTGAGAAGCTTGGTGGAGAAGGAGCAAGGGAGAACGGAGCGTGTGTGAAGGAGGCGAGGGAGAAGCTGTGGACGAAGGAGGAAGGCGCCGAGAGGAGGGGCGAGAAGGGAGCGTGAGGAGGAGGGGGAGAAGGGAGGCGGGGAGGAGAAGGGCAGGAGGGGGGAGAGAATGGGAGAAGTGGTGGGAGAAAGGAGGAGGGTGGAGAAGCGAGAAGGTGCTTGGCCGAAGGAGGAGGGGAGAAGCTGGCGGAGAAGGAGGAGGGGAGAAGGGAGAAGCGTGGTGGAGGAGGCGGGAGAAGCTGGTGGAGCAAGAAGGAGGGGAGAAGCTTGGTGGAGAAGAGAAGGGTAGAAGGCAGGGGGAGCAAGGGAGCTGGTGGAGGAGAGGGGTGAGAGAGAGAAGGGGAGAAGGAGGGGCCGAGAAGGGAGCTGCGTGGAGGAGGAGGGGGAGAAGGAGAAGGTGGTAGAGAAGGGAGAACGCTGGTGGAGGAGGAAGGGGCAAAGGAGAAGGTGGTGGAGGAAGGCGAGAAGCTCCGGCGGAGAAGAGGAGGGGGAGAAGCAGGCGAGCTGGTGGAGGAGGAGTGGAGAGCGAGAAGCTGGTCGAGAAGGAGGAGGGGAGAAGCCTGGTGATAAGGAGAAAGTCGGGAGGAGGGGAGAAGGAGGAAGGGGAGAAGGAGGGGGAGAAGGCAGCTGCCGTGGAGGAAGGGGAGAAGGGAGAGGGTGTGGAGAAGAGAGGCGGGGAAAAGCTGGTGGAGCAATGCAGGAAGCGGGCAGAAGGTAGAAGGTGGTGAGAAGGATGGGAAGTGGAGAAGAGCTGGTTGAAAAGGAGGAGGGAGAAGAGAGACGGTGGTGGAGAAGAGGAGGGAGAGCTATTACGCATCTAAGAGTTAGGTAATAATCAGTTCAGGCTCAGCGAGTGTATGGCGTGAGTCTGTGATATCCCCTTTCTCTTCTCCACCAGCTTCTTCCACTTCTCCCCCTCCTTCTTCCCCTCCTCCTTCATTCACCACTTCTCCCCTTCCTCCTTCTCCCCCTCCGTTCTCCCCAGCTTCCTTTCCCCTCCTTCTCCCTCCTCCTTCTCCACCAGCTTCTCCCCTTCTCCACCGCTTCTTCCCCCTCCTCCTTTTCTTCCACAGTTCTCCTTTTCCCCTTCCTCCTATCTCCACCAGCTTCTCCCTCCTCCTAACCTTCTCCGTTCTTCCCTTCCTCTCCTCCGCTCTCCTCCTTGCTTCTCCACCAGCTTCATCCTTTCTCCCCTTCCTCCTTCTCACCAGCTTCTCCCCTCCTTCCCTCTCACCACCTCCCTTCTCCCCTTCCTCCTCCCACAGCTTCTCCCCTCCTCCTTCTCACCAGCTTCTCCCTTTCCCCTTCCTCATTTCTCCACCACCTTCTCCCCTAATTCTTCCCTTCTCCCTCCTCTTCTCCACCACCTTCTCCCTTCTCCCCTTCTCATTCTCCACCAGCTTCTCCCCCTCCTCCTTCTCCACCAGCTTCTCCCTTCTCCCCCTCCTTCTCCACCAGCTCCCTTCTCCCCTTCCTCCTTCTCCACCTCCTCATTCTTCACTAGCTTCTCCCTACTCCACCTACTAGTACTACTCTAAACTTCCTCCTCCCTCCCCTCCCCCTCCCTACACTGCTCCTTCGCTACCCTGTACCAGAACTACGAGAGTGCTGACGATGTTCCATTGATACGCCCGAAACGCCGATAGACCGCGTAGCGCCATCTTGCGGTGGCGTTTGCAAGTTAATTTACGACGCTAAACCTAATGTTTACCTGTATAATAACAAAATAATATAATAACAAATACCTAAAAATATACAACCTGTGTGAATTATTGGGGGGAAATTGATGGTCGTTATAATTCTGTACTTGTATTCGTTACATTGTGATTGACAATACGATATAACACTGTCGGCGTGTCGAGGGAGGCTGAACAGTTAGACCTATGGTGCATTACTTAAATGTGGCCTGCACGTTGTAGGGAGCCAGCTAAGAAGGTTGTCTCCCCACTACTAGTCTAGGCTTACAGTAAGCTTATAATGACAATTAAAATTCAAGTGGATTTATCAGATTAAATTTAAAACCTTCAGGAAAAGTAACTATGTAAAGATCTTTGTCAGAATGGTCTTAATTTGTTATTTCTATTTCAACTTTTTATTGGTATTGTCAAAATTTGCCATTAGATTTACACTCATGTGAGAATTAAAGATCTGGGTAGATTTTTTGCAGTTTCCAATGAGTCATTTTGATTATCGATCGTAAACGGTAAAGATAAAACCCATGGAGCTCGGTTGCCCAGGAGTATTATGTATATATATATATATATATATACACACACAATAAATAATGTAAACCCTGTACACTCTGGTACATATCGGCTCTAGCTAGGCAGGACCTTGCTGTCTCCATAGTTACATTATTGTTTCCATACCGAGAAGGATATAGTGAATATTGTGGATGCGAGGCGGCGTGAGGCCTGTGGGAGGCATGATTACGCTCCAATATCTCGGTATCGTAGAGACAAGCGGTTGGTCTTATTTTAGAGAGCAAAGAATGCTGCTTAACGCAATACGATAAACTTAGTCTAGAACTGCATACAAAGTAGAATAATATTGCCGTGAAATAGCACTATTTTCCCGTTTTCCCGTTGTAGGTTCCCCAACTCTAGGTAGGGCCCTATTTATTAGCTCTTGATATATATATATATATATATATATGTGGTGTGTCGTACTTGGTGCCGATGTCGCCTGTATTGTGCATGACGACGGTGCGCACACTCTGGCTGTTGAGCACGACGGCACCGAATGGCACAGAAGCTGTGTCCAGACCAACCTCCAGACCCTGACAGCTGCCCATCAACATGAACAGAGGCAGGTACACGCCCTCTGACTCCAATGCCACCTATAATTAAAAGTATTTCAGCGATACGTGGCCATAAACTCACAATTCCAGTAACAACAATATTCATAGGGGCTTAATTTCACTACATAAACTGCACTCCGGTATATGTTGTTGATCATGAAGTTGTGTAATTATTGATGCCTTATTAAGCATTTTTCATGCACACATACTGCCTGAAGACTGGTTTCAATATGGCGAGATAGAAACTATAGCTTTCGTAATGGAATTAATACAGAATTGTGATGACCAAAATCCTTACTTTTAAAATCCAACTCAAAGAAAGAAAAACGACTATTATTACAATGTCGCTCTCTTTCGTAATTCGACGCATTCTACAACCGATCTCACCTCCTCGCTGAAGGGAACGATCCTTGTCTTCGGAGAGAAGATGACCTCCACGTCGCAGGTGGCCCGCGGCTTCAAGGTGACCTCTGCGAGCGGGGAGAGAGCGAGGGTTTGCGGGTCCTCGAGGGCAGCCTGGGACGGCTGCAGGGCGAGGTGGAAGGTGGTGGCTGCCACGCTGCGGTTCACAATCGACACCTCCTTCTTGACGACATGTCCGATCTTCAGTGATCCAAGCCGCACCGTCTTGTGCCTTGCATCTACCACCTCAACCTAGCAGAAAGTGGTAGAAAATAATTCAGTTCAAACCTAACAGAATGTAATAGAAGATAATTCAGTTGGGAAAAAATAATAAACCTAGGAAACAGTGATAGAAGACAATTCAGTTAGGAAAAAATAATAAACCTAGGAAACAGTGATAGAAGATAATTCAGTTGGGAAAAAATAATAAACCTAGGAAACAGTGATAGAAGACAATTCAGTTCAAATCTAGCAAAAAGTTATAAAAAATAATTCAGGTGAAACCTAGCAGAAAGAAGATTAAGGAATTAATTCAAACATCCTATAGATAATTGCCAAATGATGTCAGATAAATTAGTTGGTTACTCGATCATGTAAGTATCAGACAGTTTACATCAAACATATCCTATATAGTTTCCCCAGTTTACCCAAGTTCCTGAAAATCTGGTTCATGAATATTTGAACTTTTTATAGTAATTATATTTCCATATCTCATCTAGATCTTTTTTAAATTTTCCTAACTGAAACTTAATTGACACTCACGAAATTTTACTTCATACCTTCAGCACCACGCCCTGTCCTTTTATATGAACTGTGAACTTAGAGAGACCGTTTATTTCAAACTGAACAGCACTCTGGTAGTTGCACGTCTGTCTGGGACAAAATGTAAAGGTCGCCTCACAGCTGCCCCCTGGTGGCAGAACCTGTGCTTGGAAATCCATCTCGAGCCAGCCATTGCTAACGTGCAGACAGTCTAGTCTGTAAAGAATAACTACAGTCAGTTTTCTGAAAACAGCACATGTATCCCTACTCGATTAAAAGCGAACACATGATCGCCCCGGCAAGCGTAATTGCCAATGCATTATCTTCATTACTGAGATTAAATCAACATCTCACCCAATATCACGTGTGTCTTGGTTGGTAAGTTTCAGCACAGCCGTCTTCGCCGGCATGCCAAGCTTGTAGAGGAAACACGGCCCAAAGTCGTGTTTCGTAAAGGACTTCTCTAACTTAGGTACGGCTCCACAGCCGTTGATGACCATTCTTACTGTCGGACCATTGTGGAACTGAAACATCGAACATGCCATAATAATCTTCGCCATCGTTCTCTCTAATCATTTCGAATTATATTTTGCGACCGCGACAGACAAACGTGTACGTACCGAGAAGATTCACTATAATTAATAATAACTAGTTATTGCTTCTTCTTCTTCTTCTCGGGTCACTACACTACACTCGGCCCAGCCACTGCAGCACACAGGACTTGGCACGGTGGTTGAAAGCCTCAAGGTCTCCAGGGCTACATGGCTCTGGCAATAGCTATTACTGACTATACAACATAGGGCTTCACCAATCTCCATCACTGCCTACTGCAGGCGTCACGGATGACCAGGGGCCCGTTGTCAGAAACAAAATTAGTGTAAACATTAGTCTTAACATTAACTTTTTCGCATAGACTGGATCTCTACAGTGCGTATAAAAAACTCGTAACTTCTGTCTTTCTGTCATCGATCTACGAAAAAAGCCAATGTTAAGATTAATTCTGTTTCTGCCAGCGGGCCCTGCGCAGCGAGCAACTTCGCCGGTTTTCGCCACGCATCAGTTACCTTCAGATCGAGCCTGTGATCGCGCAGGGTGTCTCGACCCTGCGGGCAGAAGCAGAGTGTGCATGCGGCCGTCTCGAGCGGCGCGACGCTGCCCATCGGCGCGTCGACGGCGAGGCTGGGGTGCGGCGTCGGCTGCAGAAACTCGTAGTCGAGCGGCAGCTTGCCCGTGTTGCTGATGTAGACGGCTCTCACGGCCGCCTCCTTCACGTCGAGCTGCGCGGAGAGAGCGCCAGCGTGCGCGCGGGCGAGGCGATGCAATGAAGGCTGCTCGCGATCGAAGTACGGCAGAAGAAATGTCCGGGGGGGGGGGGCTTATGTAGTGAATATATATAGACACATTGTTGTCAATGTAGAACACAGAAGGAATGTAGGTCTATGGCGGTGAGCGTGACTTATATAGAGAATATAGACACATCGTTGTCATTGTAGAACACAGGAGGAATGTAAGGCAGAGAGCGAGACTTATATAGTGAATATATAGACACGTACACTCGTGCATCTAAGTTCACCTGACTATACACACCGAAATACGCTCGAACGATTTAGGACAACTTTAAGTTTAATTGATACGTAAAGGGCGACCAGAGTACCCGCTAGTTGCTTCTCTGATATATTATCATGCACTACATCAGCAACAGTTGGCGCCACCTGGCGGAAGTAGAAGTACCTCTCCGAAGTTGATCGTGTTGAGCCCGGCGTCGGTGAGCAGCACCTTCTTGTGGCTTGAATCCTCGCAGCGTACCTCCGCCGTCAGTGCGTATCCGCGCGCCTTCGCGTTCACCGTCAGTGGCGCCATCTTCATTCGGACGTTGCACACGAGGTTGAAGTTCACCTCTCCCTCGACCGACGGCGTAAAGGTCAGACGTACTGCTAACCTGACACGTAGGAAACGACAGCTTCGAACCAGTCGTTTTCATGCCAGTTTAGGTAGTTTGAAGGCCCGCACATTGCAAGCTCGTCATGATGTGGCGAAGAGGTGATGTGATGCGAAAAATATTATACGGACATGTGACAGTGTTGATTAGTGGCCAGGGGCCCGTTGTCAGAAACAAAATTTGTCTCAACATTAGTCTTAAGATTAACCTTTTCTCATAGAGCAGAGCTTTACAAACTGTATATGAGAAATTTTACCATGGTTCTGCAAGTGGTATTTCAGAAAAAGATCATGTTAAGAATAATATTAAGACCATTTTACATGACAGGGATATATTTCACTGTTCCGTGTAATTTCTACAAGTTTGGTATTAGATGCCATGAAGAGAAAAAATTGCTGATGAAAGATAAGTTTTGACTAATGGTAGTCTTCACCAGGCTCTTATAATTTAATGCTACAGTCCAGAGCTTTAATTACTAATTGTCGGAACAACAAGTCATAGCATAAGGATATGTGCCCGGTAGCTAAATGAGTCCTCTACCTCACTCGCGGCACGACAAACGCCTAGTCTTCACTAAATGCAATAAGAGTACGTGGGAAGCTCTACGAACTTTTCTTTAGGTGGTATAGTGCCGATCATCGGCGCCAGGTCCACGTGAGATTCGAAGCCCGGCGTGTAGCGCGAAGCATCGACAAATGAGAACAGCATCGGTGTATCCTCTTCGTTTAACAGCTGAACGACGTCAGTGGCAGAATGACCTACGCATCAATATCGTGACCGATCGTGCCTGAACTTAATCATCATAACGTCGTACATTAACGATTTAATTAATTCGTGAAGCGTAAGGCACCAGAGCGGGACAAACACCTATGCAGCACCTGCTAAACTTTTGCTGGTAGTGTAAAAATCTCTGCGTTGGGACAGGTTAACTGAAATAGAATGACGATGACTCACCACTACCAATGTCCACTGTTTGCAGTAACCCACCCAACATTATGCTGATCGTCAAGTACTTCCCCTCTCCCCGTCCTTTCTTTCAACCTCCACTTTCTCGTTGTAACACCGGACCACTCACATAGGAATACATTGAAATTGCAAGGAAGCAGCAGAAATATTTGCGATAAAGCAAGCGAGAATATAGACCTGCAGGGGTGGACCATAATCAAAGTTCTGATCAGTATTGTATTATACTATATAAAGTATTAGTTTTAGATAGTGCTTACCAACGAGCAGTGACTTGAAGTTGACGTGAGACTTGTCAAACATGACGATCGGCTCCCTGGTGGAGCCGATCAGTAGGAAGGGGACTGTGATGTCTCGCTCTGGCAGCACAAACTGCCAGCGGCTCTGCAACTGCCCCAGCTCGGTGGCAGTGAACTCAAACTTCATCTGTCAGAGGTAACGGCAGTTTTGTCAGGGATATGACATAAAGTAATTTATAAAAATTATGTAACGACGACGTTTGAAAATGCTTCCAATTTTAGGATTAAAAACCAATTAGTCTGTTACGTTTACTTTATTATTCATATTGCAATTTATCACCAAGCATTTATAAATACTATTTATTGTGTTAGAGATGTTTAGATAAATTAGTGACAATTATTATTCTGCGACATGATGCCTACTAAACCGATGACAGTCCGCCAGCGTGGGAGTTTTAGGTATTGCATAAAGTTATTACAGGTAATGCTGAAACCGGGTGCATCACTGGCTAAGCGTGACACCTGACCTGACCTCTCTGACCTGGCATGACCTGAGGTGTAACAATACCTGACATGTCATGCCGGGATCGATCTCTCCCTTAGGTGTCAGGCACTTGAAGGGCTGTGCTAGAGCTTGGCTATCCAACTCCTGGCTCTCCCACGCATAGCGCAGAGGCGTGTTAGTCGGATTAATCGTCGCAAACGTCCTATAAAATGAATGTGCGTACTCACTTGAATGTGCGTACTATAAAATGAATGTGCCCACTTGCAGTAGCAATGCATTAACAATTATTATCGATGAAACTGTACAGATCTTGTCAGCTGTGTCGTCTGGCCATCTCTCCAGCAATCAAAACGCCTGCATATGAACTGTGAGTTCGTGTTAATGTGATCTTGCAAAACACTTCATACGATCTGTCACATTTGCCTACTTGAATCCTCAATCACAAACAGGACCAATCTAATGACCTGGATGTGACTGTTCAGCTTGAACATAGACCCAGCTCATGAACCAATTAGTGCAGATCCAATGTGGCAGCACGAGACATCAGCCGATCAGCACTTGCTGTTAGTTATTAAGGTACAGGACATTATCGAGTCTCTCACCTGCAGACGGTGCTGTTCGTGCCCACTGCGGCGAGACGAACGACGCGCGCCGCCGGCTCGACGCCCGCCGACTCCGTCCGCTCATCAGCCTCCCCCGCGGTCGCATCCTCGTCGTCCAGCTCAAAGTGACAGTAGGGCAGCAGGCTTCTGCCTCTCAGTGTTATACAGGGTCCCGTCTCGCCATCGGCCAGGTTTGGGATGCTACGGCGCAAAGCAACGAGAAGATGACGTGCGCGGGGGAAACGTACGCGTGACGAGCGCGAATCATTCGCAAAGAACAGATCATCTCTCGAAATGCCCGAAGGACGTTAAGGTCGTAGGACGACTCTCGCGCACAAAGAACAGAACATCTACGCTCAAAGGACGTTAAGGTCGTAGGATGACTCTCACGCACAAAGAACAGAACATCTACGCTCAAAGGACGTTAAGGTCGTAGGATGACACTCACACACAAAGAACAGAACATCTACGCTCGAAGGACGTTAAGGTCGTAGGACGACTCTCGCGCAGAGAGAAGAGAGACGTTGCTACTGCCGACACGGACTCACCTGCACTGCGCCGTGGCGGTGAAAAAGTCAACGTGGAGCGGAGAGAACGACGCGGTGAACGTGACGGTTTCGCCCGGCGACACGACCCCGTCCTGCGGCTCCACCGCGAACGGGACGCGACAGCCTACACCCGCGGCCGCCGCGTCGTCGGCCCCGACCCCGGGCGACCCCGGCTCCGCGCGTCCGGTCACGCTGCTACCAGGCGCCGGCGCCTCCGCCGACGTGCGTCCACTCATGCCCCCGAGGGGCGTCCTCACCGCCGTGCGTCCGGTCATGTCGCCGACGGGCGTCCTTACCACCGACGCGCGCCCAGTTGAGGCGCGCCCAGTTGCGCTGCCCGGCAATGGCGAGTCAGCCGACGTGCGTCCGATCGCGTCGCCAGGGGGGGCTGCTGGCGCAATGCTCCAGGAGTAGGCGAGGCGCACGGCGCCGGTGTTCTCGAGCGAGAACTCGCGCCGCCGCGTGCGGAACACGTACGTGTCGCGGAACGAGACCGCATCTACGTCGTCGTCGTCGTCGTCCGCAGCAGCGCACGCGAAGCGCGCGTAGTCGGCCGTCGCGCTGACGAGCAGATCGAGCGTGCCGGCGGCATCGCGTGCCGTACACGCCGGCTCCGGCTCGACCTCGACGACCTTCGGGTAGATCCGCTGTGAACGAAGTGGGGTGGGGTGGGGTGGGGTGGGAAGGGGGGGTGAGATTAGTGCCATGATTGACGATCGGTAACTCTAAATCCATTACTCCGGTACTCCGTCAGAACTCACACAGTTTAGCTTTAAAATCTGTAAAAATTTCCGCACGAAGAGTGGGCAGCATTATGTTCACTATGTGGGATATAATATCATTTGGAACTACCTAGTAAGATACCTTAGCTAATACTAGAAGCAGTAATCTCGCTTGGATACAATTAAGATACTTAAGAATTCTAATTTTGGGTCCTATAACTGGAGGAAATTTTATCAAATTAAATGGGTTTTATATGCCTGGCAGGAAACTCAGGATTGATCTCCTGCGTTCATTTTTAGCTCCAGCATCAGCTTGCTAGAATCCATGAAATTGTCCGTCGGTCCTGTCCGCGCGTTCGCGTTCGATGCGCGTCCGTTCGCGTCACAGTTGGGAAGCAAATCTTAACCGCTCGACGTATCGGTCGCACCGTAACTTTGCGACGGTCGGGGGGGGGGGGCGATCGTCAAAAGAGGAGTCAGGAGTAACAAATGTGGGGTGGTCAAAGGTCATGTAAAGGTCAAGATGGTAAACGGAGGGGAATATTTCCCTCTTACTTAATGTATAGGGAGGAGGATACGGAATTGCGGCACAAATCTGAACGGCTTCGACCTCTGCTCTTAATGATTTGTGATGTGTGATGGGCAGGAAACGGCCATCAGCAGAGCGAAATTATGGCAGGCAACAGGTACAAAGGGCAGGGGGAAGGTGAAGTATATCCCGACATTTTCGAGGACATGTCTAAATGGACGACAGTGAAAAACTTTTTGCTTCAGCGCTGACCTAACCATTTTTATCACTTTATTGAAAACGAGCATGAAATGGATGCTTTCCAACGTGACAGGTGCGAAGAGTAAGTGTCTGATCAAACGCTTTTGACCCTACATAGAAGAGGGTTAAAGTCAAGGATTCTGAACTGCCTCAATGATGTCACTAGGTTTTCTCATATTCAAATGCACTAGTCCATAATCTAGAAAGCCAATAAGCCTGGGTAGCCGAAAGCCTACCAGCACAGGACGTAATGGCTCAACAGGTCGTTGGATCGAAATCCCATCAAGATTTTTTAGTATTTACCTGTTTCTGTATTTTCTATCTTTATCCATTTAGACTATTTTTTTTTCCAATAACGCAAATATTTAGCATGATTTAAATTTACACACATTTAATAACACACAATAATTTTAGCACAATTATTATATTTTTCAAATAGGGTTAGGGTATAAGGTCACACAATGCACCATAAAACAGGAGTTTCAGCAGCGCGATTTGTATCAACCAATGGGATTTGGGGAGGAATATGCAGAATGCAGAAGGTTGCTGAAATGATGTGCTACGTGCCTCGCGTATCTGCAATATCGTGCGCCTAACAGAGGTGTCACGTAACGCACGACTTGGAACTCTGACAAATTTGTTGAGATTCATACCTACCTTTCTTCACGCATTTCTGTTGTCATTGCATGCTCTCAATCATGTATAGGTGTATCTTCCAGGGCCTCAGCAAAGATAACTGAAGCCCATTTAACAGTGAGCAACTAGTTTAAACTGCGTTATACGTGGTTATCAGGTTTTTCTAATGACACACGAGGTACTGATTCCTAGCGCAAACTATGGTACGCAAAGGATTACGCTAGCGCGATCTAGTCCTCGCAATTCCACCTATATGAGAGAGATGAATGTCAAGAGTGACCATATCAGGTCGCCTCGTGTATATATTATACTCGAGATGTTCATAATAATATCCGTATATCTGACTATATCAAGAATCGAACCAATGCACCGGATTGCGTGGGGTTTTTCCTGCATCTGCGCGCGCGAGCGTTCTGAACGGCGTATCCACAATCATCGTCAGGCCTGGTCAGTGCTGGCGCATCGATGCCGGATAATTCCGAATCGCCGCACTCCTCGCTTCCCCGCTGGGAGCCCGGCGGCAAGTTCCCGCCGGAGATCGCGAGTCTGCAACCGGCCAAACGCCACTGCCTTCGCCGCCGACGACCGCCGACGACCCCGACGCGATCCCGGCTGCGAGCGCCGTACGCGGCGAGGGTGCCGCGGTTCACGCGGAGCTCGCGCGTCTGCGCAGATGTCACGTCGGCGTCGCG